CCTGATAGGAGTCGCCATTCAGGGCCTCCCTCAGATACGCCGGTGTTTTGTAGCAACCACACAGCTTTCTCATCCTGACCTTGCTCTCATGTCCCAACCCTTGGGGTGAGGCACACCATCTTACTCACAGTATAAGGCAATGGCAGCTCCACCCACAGCAATTCATAACTCAGTCGGTCTGGGCCAGGGCCAGGATCTAAGGAAGCTCTGATGCAGAATCCACAGACCACACTCAAAGAAATGCTGGTCTAAGGTAGCTGATGATGGACTCCAGAACAGAGAGGGCAAGAGCTTTCTCAAAGTCACAAGACCACCCAAGCCAATCTTTAATCACTCAACCCAGGACTGACTCTCAACCCTGCCACTTTTAGGCTGTGAAACCTCAGCCAACAACTTACCCTCTGAGCCTCCTCTGGAAGATGGGGGAAAATGATACTATTTCATACGACTCTTAAGAGGATTAAATCATACACGCTAGGTACTTAGCACTGTGCCAGGCATGCCGATGGTGCTCAATACACATGCGTGGAGGGGACAGCCAGCTGTGGGGCCTCCAGTGGTCTCCCCTCCTGGGGCTGGCACTCTGTGTCCTCCCCTCCCTGACTGTGTCAGGGTTGGTCTGTGTGACTAAGAGAACAAGGTGGACATCACGCTATGTTACTTCCAAGATCATGTTATAAGACAATGAGGCTTCCATCCTGGTGTCTCCCCTTCTCTGATCACTTGCTCTGAGGGAAGCAAGCTGCATATATGAGTTAGCCCTGTGGGGAAGCCCATGCAGCAAGGAACCAAGGCCTCCTGCCAACAGCCATATACGTAAGCTTAGAAGCAGACCCTCCAAACCCAGTCAAGCCTTCAGGAGAATGCAGCCCCAGATGACAGCAGTCATTTTGGGAGACTGAGCCAGAACCAGCTAAGCCATTTTCAGATTCCTGATGCTCGGAAACTGTATGTTAGTTGTGTTAAGTCACTAGGTTTTGGGGTAATCTGTTCTGCAGCAATAGCTAACTAACACAGTAGAATATATGAATGAAAAAACTAAATCACTTCACAATCTGTGACAGCCACAGGTACGAAGTGACCCGAATCCCAAAAGAAGTCAAAGGAGCACTACCCCTGGCATGCAACCCCTGAGGTTCCAGTGTTCCCTTTCCAGTCATTCATTCCCCACTCAGCACTTCCTCTCTGCCAGAGCGGGGTTTACATCTCATTACACAGTCCCTGCTCCCCCAAGAAGGTGCACATGCAGGGGGTGGCCAACAGATGCACCCCTCCAGTAACAATACTATGTAATAAGCTCTATGCAGAGTACCAAAGAGGGGCAGCTGAATCTAACAGCGAATTCCTTTAAGGAAATCATCAGAGATGATCTCAGAGATCCAGGTACCGAGACAGTCACTGCAATGCAGCTCGTCCTAAAACTGCAGTCTCAATGTCCAACAGGAAGAGGAGCTGACAGTTACCCACTGCTCACCGCATGCCAGGCAGGCTGCTCAGTGTCCCATGTGGGGTGGGAGTGGTGGTTCAATGATATGATGCACAAAGCCCATTATCTTCATCTTGCCTTAAAAAACTGTGGACACAGGGAGCCCACAGCTGGCAAGGAGCAGGAGTGGGGCATAAGCCACCATCTGTTCATTCAATGGAGTCCACACAGCATTAAAAATCAACTCCCCTGGACAAATGTTCATTCCATATTGCTGAATGACACGCGGCTTGTCATCACAACAGTATGTACAGTAGGACAACACTTTTTCAAGGACAAACCCCGCCTCCCTGCCCAACACACACACACACACACACACACACACACACAAAGATAGAGCGGATACAAAACATTTACTGTGGTTATGTCTCTGGATAATACGATTATGTGCAGGATTTTTTTCATTTTGTGTTTGACTATTTTTCCCAGTTTCTATATATAGCATGTATTCCATCTAGGCACCTGGCTTTCATTCTCTTATTTAATCCTCAAGAGACCTTCTGAGTAGATATCAAGGTGTCCATTTCTCAGATGAGAATGTTACATTTAAAAAAATTTTCCCTAAAAGTTCCCTTCAAAAAAGTGTTAAATTTGTCAGGCATGGATAAACACTATTCCCTTCCTCTTAGGAGGCTGCCACGGACGGTTCCAGTGACCTGGTTCGCCAGGATGAACCAGCCCGGGGTGGTGCTGATGTTTATAAAGAGGTCTCCGGCAGACATTACTCCAGTCCCTGGCTGAAGGCTGGAAGGGCGCACCTGATTCCGAGCAGACCCGGCCTAGGGAGCTGCAAGCTGGAGCCACGGTTCCTCAGATAGTTACAGGTCCCAGGAGGCCAGAGTTTCCAAATAGGAAAGGTAAAAATAGCCTGAAGGAGGCTTCTGAACCACATATCTGGACTCAGAACCCCCTCGGCCTCCCCTTCTGCCCCCAGTATGGGCTCCAAATACCATCTGTCCCTCTGTTGCCATCGTCACTGCTGCCCAAGGCGGGTCTCATCTCCTTGCACCTGAACCAGCTTCTTCATTCACCCCACCCTGGGCAGCAGCATCAGAACAAGCCTCTAAAACAATTCTTGCTCAAAATTTTCCATGGCTTCTGGTGGAGAGCTTATTAAAAATGAAGTCTCTGGGTCAGATTTAGGAATTCAGACTCAGCAGATCTGGAGGGCCAGAAATCTACATTTTAAACAGTGAGTCTAGTATCCCCTAGTAGGTACCCCTTAAGAAACGAAACCTGGGGTAACGACCGTCTCCTACTCACTGAACTCTCCACTCCCTGAATCCCAAAGGCAACCTCTGCTGGGGACAGGCACTCTGGGTAGGTCCAGCCCCCAGATTTGTGTCTCAGTCAGAAATTGGTTGATTATGAATAACCTCAGCTCACTGAAATGGTAACCCCAACTTGACTGAAATGCTAATTCATTAGACTGGATGAAACTGTTTTATCCTGTCACTCCAGGAAAATTTAGGACTGAAAATAGAGGTTGGGAAAGAAATCAAACTCATTCTGCATTAATGTTCCTGTCCTAAGTTTAGTAATAATCAGTGTATTTGAACTTGGTATTTGTAAGTATCTATGACATTGAAAAGAATTTGACATGCTGAATATATGACAGATAAACATCATGATTTAAAGTTAAAATAGTTAGGTAATTGACAACCTATGTCAGTAATTGATATTAGCCTTATGACCAAGTGAGAGGTTAGTAAAATAGATGGAAACACTGGCTGCATGTTAGAATCACCTGGCGTGCTGTAAAAGCTACTAAGGGTGACTCCCATACCTTAATTTCATGTCAGAGATGGAGTATGTATTTTCTTTTAGCTCTCCAGACCAAGAAGGAGTGAAATAAGAGAATTAGATTGTCTATTAAAAATATTAAACTGTTTATAAGAACTTGAAATTCATTATGTTTGTAAGTTTCATTTATTACATTTCCTAGTAACTGTTTAAGTATTCTAGGTAAATTATGCTGGCTAGGTTCTATATCTGAAATACTTAAAATCAAATACATTAAATTTACAAGTGGAATTAAATATGTAAGAGAATGTAATTAAGTGGTAAATAGGGTTGAATGTTTAAAGGAATTTAGTTTGTTCAATTTGAGTTAATGGTCATTGTTCTTATGTTTCTAGGTTTATGTACAGAATAATTTCTAAGTTGAAATCAAAGGCTTAGAGAAAACTTTTTAAAAATTGTTTGCCTCTACAGAGAAGACAAGTAGTGATTCTACAACATCTTACTACGCTGATGGACAGTGACTGTAATGGGGTTTGTAGGGAGGACTTGGTGAAGGGGGGACCCTAGTAAACATAATGTTCTTCATGAAATTGTAGATTAATGATAACAAACAAACAAACAAAAAAATTGTTTGCCTCTGACATCTCCACCTGAAGTCTAAGGGGCAGCTCAAACTTTACACGGCTAAACAGAATTTAAGACTATCCCTGTCGATGTCAAGTTGTTGAAGTCAAAACTCAGATGTCATCCTTGATTCCTCTTTGCTACACACCCTAAATCTATGCCAGCTTATTCTCTCTGCCCTACCTCCCAAGAAACATCCTAAATCTGATCACTACTCGAATCCACACCTTAAATTACCATCCTGCCTCAACTGACCCACCACAACTTCCTCTTTGGGCTATTCTCCAGAGGGCAGCCAGAATGATGACATTAACATGTAAATTAGATCATGTCACATCCCAGTTCAAAACACTTCAGCGGCTTCCAGAAGCAATTAGAAAAAAATCACTCCTTACCATGAGTACAAGGCTCAATAGGAACTGACCTGAGCCCACCTCTTCACAATCCACTCCACCCACCTTCCATTCAACATCTCAGCACTGCAGCAATCTTAAGACTGCACCAAAGTTTTCCTGTTTGACCCACTCCTATTTATTCAGGTCTCTGGTTAAGTGTCGCCCTCGGTACCCTGGCAAAAATTGCACCACTACCCCCTCCCTAACCTGTGTTCTGCTCTTCACAAACATCCCTTGTCTTCACTGCATCTCCCCATCTTGCCCAACACACAGTAGATGAGCGCTCCCTGAGAGCAGGGACTTGTTCCCCGCTGGGTCCCCGGAGTATGACCCAGATGAAGAGTTCAGAAAATACATGAACGGCCCTAGTATTCCAAAGCCCTCGCTGGTTCTATTCCCAAGAAGAAATGCGTGGTCCCAGGTCTCTCGCCTTCCAGGCCAGGGTTCTCGGCTGCGACGTACATGGATGAGGAAACAGGTGGCACGGACAAAACTGCCTTCCCCAGAGGTCGGGCACAGGAGGCTGGGCCCCCGGGACCCGACTTCTGCCACAAGCTCCAACTCTAGGCCTGTAATTGGGGCTGACAGAAAAGAGAGGCGGCGAGACGAGCCGGGAACCCGGGCGCCCAGTCCCCTACACCCCACTAACTACTCCCCAGCCCGCTGAATGTTGCGACCCGCCGCCGGGAGCAATCCTCCAGTGGGAAGAAAGTCACTAGGATTAGCTCCTCGATGTCCACCAAAGTAGGTACCTGGCTCCTCAGGGCCCGACGGCTCCTCCTCCTCCTCCTGCGCCCTCGCGTAGCGAACTGCTTGCTGGGATTCGTAGTCCTTCCTTGGGTATCAGTGCGCCCTTCCCAGAAGCCTTTGGGAATCAGAGCGGAGATAGCGCGAAGGTGGGAGGGAGGGGAGGGGGAATGGAGGGAGCGCGAGCGCTTGTTGTACTTCAAAATATTCAATCAGCAAGTAATGACTGAGAAAAGTTGAGTAATCTTACCCAACCATTTCGGCTGCTCTGAAGAGAACCTTATGAGACTTTTTCTCTCAAGTAATCAGTTACTTCCGTGGTTCAAAACCACAAACGCTGATATTTAAAAGAACTACAAATCCCATAAAGGCGAAGGCTTTTGGAGAGCAAGGTCAGCAGCGGCGCAGGCGCGGTGGCGTAAGTCCGTCAGAAGAACAACATGGCGGCTCCGTCGCTTGCTGCGAGGTTGTACTCCCTGCTGTTCCGCAGGACCTCCACCTTCGCCCTCACCATCGCTGTGGGCGCCCTGTTTTTCGAGCGCGCCTTCGATCAAGGCGCGGACGCGATCTACGAACACATCAACCAGGGGGTGAGGGCCTGGGCCACCCTGACCTTGGGCCCGCCTGCGGGGTGATAGTGGGAGTGGACGTGGGGCGGGACTCAGCTCTCTACCCTTATGAGGGGTGTGTTGGGGGTGTAAATCCTGGGCGCCTTCTGTCTGTAGACTGCTGTCTGCCCTTCCCCAGTGTGAATCCTAATAAGTGAAACGAGGGCAGTAGATCCCACCTTTAAGGGGTTTGTAAGTATTGCGGTCTCCTACCCCTCAGACCCACTTGTCCATTTGCAGAAGCGAAAACTGAAGCCTAGTGAGAGCAAAGGGCTTGCTTAGGGCCACGCCACCGGGAAGTCAGCGGCATGTCAGGGTAGGAAACCGGACCGCCCGTCCCCAAGGGTTTCCTGGGCAGATTTGAGCGGGCGACGCCCGGGAAAAGGACAACTTAGACACTGTCGCCTTTTTCAGATAGCACTTCTTCGTGTCCTAGGCTTCCCATGCAGGCAGCGTGGCAATAATTGGTAAAGGTGTGGGGTATGAAATAAGCCCTGGATGGGAATCCTGGGCCTTGCCACACTAATGGTTGTATTAAGTTGGGCGAGTCTCACAACCTCTCAGCTTCACTTTTATCTGTGAAATGGAGATGATAATAACAATAGCTACCTCGGAGTTCTTGTGAGGATTAAATGAGATACAGACAAGGTGCCACAGTATTGGGTGTACCACTGAACAAGTAACGTGTTACATTCCTTAGAGATCGTGGAAACATAAGATAGGGAATAACAATGCCTTTTAGACTCCTTGTGTACCAGGCACTGTGCTGAATAGCTGTGTATACTTTGTATCATTCAATTGTGGCTCATATTGGGGAAGGTCTTGTACAGAAAGCCCTGTTCCAGTATTCACTTGAGTTTTTAATTTTAAGCTGTGACTGTACAGCCAGGCAGCTCTGTCCACTAATGATGTATTATTGTCTGTAATCACGGCAACTTACTGACCCTGTGAAAATGCTGCTGTTGTTCCATCACCGGCAAGCAGTTCACATACCCAATCCAAGTGTGTTGTCATGACCCACCTGTCTTCTGCGTTTTTAGGGATGAGAATTCAGCTAATTCCTAACCCAAGGATCATAGGTTCTTGGAAATAAAAAATGGCTCAGTGTGAAGTATTTGGAGACTATGCATTTAGGACCTGTTTAATCTGGGAATTAAAGAAATGAGATTATCTAAGCTCTGTTCCTTAATAATTTTGTGCTTTTGGGCAGTTCCCTGAATCTCTGTCTCCATTTCCTATAACAGAAAATCATCCCTTTCTACTTACTTCACATGATGCTTAAGAGCATCAAAGCATTTTATGAATGTGCATCACGCCTAGTGTGGCTTAGTTTGCGCACCACAAACAGGACGTGGTATGTGTTTGTCAAGCTTGTTTAAGAGGCTGGGTCAATGGGCATCATTGTAAAATCAAAAAGGTGAAACCAAAGTTTGTGGCTCTTGTCTTTAAAATGCAGAAGCTGTGGAAACATATCAAGCACAAGTATGAGAACCAGTAGTTCCTTGGAGGCCCCCATCGAGGCCAGAAGGACGAGGCCCACCAACCAGCTGTTTGCCCAGAGCCAGGGCCACTACTTGAAGATGATGCTCAAGTTACTATTCATCTACCACCTTTAACATTTGGCAAGAAATGGCTTCACCTGACAGACTCTAACTTCTGCTGTGTTGGAAGTATGTTTAGTCAGAGTCAACAACAAATAAATGTAAATTGCCCTTGAGACCTGCTTCTGTATCCAGTGCTTTGTTAACTCAATCTTTACTTGTCAGTTATTTGACACCACTGCATAGTCCTCTGCAAATATCTGAAAGGCAGATTTCATTATTTTGGGTTTTCCTTTGACTTCCAAAGAATTCTGGCTTTCAAAATATGAGCTCGAGTTGGAGATATAACCTTCAACTTTTGCTTCTAAACCAGCAATTCCATTCTCACGTCATGCAGAGGGAAGCTGACTGGCGTGGCCATAGGGAAGCACTATGAATTCAGCTGGGGAGAAAACCCTGGCCTGGGGGTCTTGGGCTACTCCCTGCTCCAGGCCTCCATTCTGCCTTTAACTTGCTGAGTGTTGTTGGGTAAGGTGGCATACCTCTCTGGGCCACAGCCCATCTTCTGGTGATGATTAAATTGTACCAGAACTCTGAGCCTCCTGTCAGAGTTTCTCTCCAATGAGTGTGGTTCATCATGGTGCTTACTTGGCAGGTTTGAATCCTCACTCCACCAGTAATAGCTGTGTGAACCAAGGCAAGGTCGTTGACCTTGCTGAGCTTTGGTTTCCTGGTCTGTAAAATGGGGATGATAAAAGTACCATCTGCGTGGGGTTTTGTGAGTATTAAAGGAGTTTTAAATGCAGTTAACATTATCTAGGTACATGGAGGTACCTGCTGGCAAAAAGACATGAGAGGATGGTTAAGGACCCAGAGAACCAAATGATTCTGTGGAAGGGTGTGGAGCAGTAGGAATGGGACAGTGTGGTTATTCGTTCAACAAACATTTGGGTAGTCACTATGTTGGAGCACTATGCTGGGTGCTAGGCATCTGGTGGTAAACAGAACATGGGACTTGAACTGCAGGAGATCTATAAATGCCCTCCTATACCACATATATGGCGTTCATACACTATTGAGAAGTGGAACCATCTTTTTTGAGGATATTCTATACATAAATATTAAGATCCTTAATGGGATACCTTTGATTCAATAAATCCCACTTCTGGCAAATTTTCCTTAAAGAAACGTGCATGTCCACAGGAGATGTTCATCATGATGATTTTAATAGGGAAAAAAATGAAAACAAAATAGCCAAACTATTGAGGTAAATATGCAGTCATTTAAAACCATGTTTTAACTGGGAGAAAATACCCAACAAATGGCAAAGCATTGATCTCACTAATATATGAAATAATCTTCTAAATCAAAAACAAGGTAAAAAAAAAATAGAAGTTAGGGCAAATGACATGAAGAGGCAATTAAGAAATACAAATGGCCACAAACACGGAAAGATGTCCAGTTTCACTAATAAAATGAATCACTGTTTTTTTGCCCACCAGAAAATGAAGATTAGCAACATGACTTTTTCGATGAAGGAGCAGGCACTGCCCATGGGTATTGGAACAATGGTTTTGCAGGCACTTCGGTAATATCTATTTTAAATATTCATTTTTTAAAAAAAAAATTGTGCATTACAATATACATAACAAAAGTGGCCATCTTCACCACTGTTGACATTTTATGAAGTATATTCCCATTGTGCAGGCATCACTGCCGTCCATTCCCATAGTACTGAAACTGCTGTTAAACAGCTCCCCTCCCCCGCCAGTCCCTGGCAACAAACAGTATTTGTCTTTTGGTGACTGGCTTATTTCACTTCGCATAATGTCCTCAAGGTTCATCTGTGTTGTAGCATATTGCAGAATTTCCTTTCTTTTTAAGGCTGAGTAGTAAGCCATTATATGAATATACCCGTTTGCTTATCCATCCAGCCATCAGGGGACACTTGGCTCGCTTCCACATTTTAGGTATCCTGTGAACGTGGGTGTACAAACATAGCTTTGATATACCCAGAAATGGAATGGCTGGGTCATACGTTAATTCTATTTTTAATTTTTTGAGGAACTTGCATACTGTTTTCCAGTTTCCACAGGAGCGGCACCATTTTACATTCCTACCAATTCTCTGCCTCCTCACTGACACTTGTTATTTTCTAGGGTTTTTTGATAGTAGCCGTCCTAATGGGCGTGAGGTGGTATCTCACTGTAGTTTTGATTTGCATTTCCCTGATGATTAGCGATGTGGAGGATCTCTGTATGTGCTATTGGCCATTCTTATATCTTTGGAGAAGTGTCTGTTCAAGTCCTTTGCTGAGTTTTAAATCAGGTTGTCTTTTTGTTGTTGAGTTTTAAGAGTTCTTTATATACTCTGGATATTAATCCCTTATCACCTCTGTGGTTTGCAAATATGTTCTCCCATTTTGGGTTGCCTTTTTACTCTGTGGATAATGTCTTTTGATGTACAAAATGTTTAAATTTCAGGAAGCCTAGTTTGGTTTTCTTAAATTCATTCCTCTTGACCCTGACATTCTACTTCTGGAGAAGTATTTCCAGAATTACATGTGCAGACACACCTCCACACACACACACACGCAAAGTCAGGGAGCATTGTTTGGAATTAGAAGAAGAAAAATGTCCTTCATTAGGGGAGTGGTTAACTAAAAAGGTAGATTCATACTGTAGATCTACAGAGACATTAAAAAGACTGAGGTAACTGAGCAGTGATGAAGAAAGATAAAGTGAAACAAAAATCAAGCTGCAAAATGGGATGTTTAATTACTTAGCTTCATTCCATTTGTGAGAATATATACACTGATACATGTACACATGAAACACTGAAGGTTGTGCACAAGACTTTTTCATGGTGGTTATCTCCAAGGGGTGGGAATTCAAAGAACTTTAACTTTGTGCAAGACGTATTTACTTTTTCTTACAAGAAGAAGATATATTCTCGTAAAAAATATT